ATATACACATAAACCTAATAATGGCATCTTTGCTTCCTTAGAGAAACTTTAGATATAATAGTCTAAAATGTATATAAACCAACTTTTCTCTCATCTCCCACTATAAATCCAACAATTGTATATAAACTTTTATCCTGTACTATAAAACTTCCTTTCTATAAGCATCATGGTAATATCAACACACAGACTAATAGCATAGCTTATGGGGATCACCTCATATTAGGAAAACTTTGTTCAACACTATTTAACGGAATTCCTTCCTTTTAATGTTTTAATAGATTCTAATAGTTATAATTTGATTTTAAAAACAAAAAAACATCCCCAAGCATAAATTCTTATCTCTTCAGTTAGCCAAATTAATATCCTCATGGATATAAAAAATAAATGTTATAAAGAACATGATTGACTGCACTAAAATAATTTCTTCCTTGCACATATTATTTTATAAAAAAATTAACATAAAAAAATTCTTAGGAATACTTTCCCAAACTGATTATCAAATAAAATTAGCTTTAATGACTTAAAACAAAAAAATACACTTGCGATATAAGCAAAAATAAAAACATTAATTCATTCTCTTATAAACTTATCTTATCTCATGGACCTCAGTCATGATCATAGTCTACAACCCCACACTGCAGTTAAACATGGACTCCATAATCATTTCAATGGCTTGATAATATGCTTTGCTAGGACTGCATACAGATTGATTGCTAACCATGACTTTAACCAAAATAGTTGAGGGAAAGATATGGACCCATACCTTTCCTAATGGTATTTGTGCTAAAGTTAATGTGATAAACTTGACCAAATTTCAAACTCAGCTTGCTGATTTCTGGTTTGAAGCTGCTAACCATTGAACCACCTTCACATCTATTGTATTACATTGATTGCAATCAGAAGCACTATAAACAAAATGAAAAAGCCATTTAAAATAGTATCTATGGGTACATACTACATATTTGTAATAAATAACTAAGATTTATCATTTATTATTAAAAAAAATTTAAAACATTTAATCAAATAATCACTAATAACACTAGACCTAAAAAAAATAATGCTTATGTAAAAAACAATGTTTATGAATTTTCATGTCCTATGGTAGATTGCATCTTCAGTACTAATAAACAAACACCAACTTTTGATATTGGTCACAACTTGATAATTGTCAAAGTTTAGTGTAATTCATACACATTGATCAGCAAATTGCTCAAGGCCATAGGTATTAACAGTTAATAATTACTAATAGATGACATTAAAATACTATATGGCACTAACTGTAAAGAAAGATTTGAAATATTTTGTATCTGTTGTATACAAACATACTTGTTAAACACAATATCTATAGGAGAAAGCATTTTAAAATATTTAAAAAATTTTAAATATTTTGGTTGTTAGATGCTGTTATGAACCCCTAACAGACTAATAAAACAAAATAATTGCATATTGATTGCATTATAAACTTTCAACAGTTTCTTTATAAATTTATTCCAGTTATGTGGCAGGCACACATCCACTGAGTGGAAGAATGCTATAAAACAAAATATTGACTAAATATGCATTAGTTTATAAGACGTGTTTGTGTATATATCACCAACAAGCCAGTATCATCAGAAATAAAGAAATAAAAAAAAGAAAATTCACAAGAATAAAATCTACATTGTCAAATAAAATTTTTCTGGTGACATGGGATAATTAGCAAAACATATTGTTAAAAAATTATATACCAAAAAAGTAAATTTTAAGTGATCCTATCAATAATTACTTTTTTTTTTTTTTTTTTTACTTGTGAGTGGAGGAAGAAAAAAATTAAATCTGAACAGATTAGTACTTTTCCTCAAGAAAGTGACTTAGTAATCTGTAAAGTCATAAATTATAAAATTGTTTGAAAATAATAAAGAAAGCAATTTGATATCTTCCTCTCTCTTTCTTTATATAGTTGTATTCATTGCCTAAAAATTAAAGCATTTCTTTTACATAACATATATTTAGTTTTCAACATAATCTTTTTGGTCAACATGCTTAATTCAGTGGTGAATATTAATTTTAACCTTTTTGAAGTATTGCAACTAGTAAACTTCGCTAGATAAATTTAATGCTATTCGTGATTTGAAATATACTTTGTTTCCAAATCCTATTTGTTCCTACTTTTCTATTATCCTCCAGAGGTTGAACACCCTGCTAACACTCCTTTGACCACTTTGTATAGTGGGTGACCACCAGTAACATTTTGCAAATAATGCTCCTTCAGGGAAACTAGGAACATTATTTTAGTTACTACACCTCTTTCTGAACATACCTTGATTTGTATGCCTCACTGTCAAGATGAATATTTTCATTGTCTGCTGGCCAGTCAAAAAATCCAGGTTAAAATATTTTTCTTTATTTGAATAATATACCTGTTTTTTTTACTGTCATTATTTTTTTTATATTCATGTTAAATATTAGTTGATTAAAAATTTTCACGTTTGTGAATTACAAGACAAAAGCATATTTTGTATATGTAAGTGTAATTTTGTTTTTATGCTTCTCTCTCTCTCTCTCATATTCTCAGCATTTATTAATTTTTTAAATTTTACAATTGTCTTTTTTTTTTTTTTTTTGTTCAAATTTACAATCTTTATATTATATATTTACACTTTACATCAGTAATACTCTATTTGTATAATATTCCTAATATCTTGCTACATTGAGCTAGGAGTTTGAGTGAATAGATGACAAAACTAGGACAAAGATTGTAAGAGGTCAAAAGTTGCTTAGAACAAAAAACAGGAAGTTGTGGAGAGGCATTATTGGCATGTCATGAAAGGACATAGTATATTTGCATTCTGTAAAACATTAAATAATATATTTATTAGCAATTTATAAAGTGGGCAACCACTACAAAGATTATATATTCTATATTATAATCTTTGCTTTTTTATAAGATATTAAATAACTCCTATTCATTGTTTTTGTTTAAAATGTCTTCCCCTACAAATTACTGATAAACTAACCAAATCATAATTTCTTTGGGTGGTGGCGTAGTGTTTTATGTTTTGTGTTTTATGTGTACATTTTTTTTTCTAAATATTAGTTCTTAAAAAGATAACTATTTTAGTCTATGCATTAAATAATAGATATGCATGTTGCTTCATTTTTTTTTTTTATTTTTTTTTTTTATTTTTTTTAAATTAATAAACAACCAAACCATGGACATTATGAAATATCTGTGAATTCTATAAAGCATTAAATAATACATATGCACTGGCTTTATCTCAGCCTTTTCCATATTAATAACAATTCTAGTGCAGATTTTATTATCCAAGCACAGGTTCAGGATCATGAACAGGATTCATTTCAAATTGATGGAAAGCACAATTTGTGACTTTTAGACAAGGATTTGCTGAATGCAATTATTATTTACTTAGGTACACCATTGATTTGCTAAAAAAAAAATACCATAATGGCAAAATACCCCAAACTTAATAAAAACAGTTTTATCATTAAGAGGAAAGATTTTTGGTTATTAAATTTTTCATCCTCTTAGAATATGCAAAATTTTGTTTTTTAAAAAAAAATTTTTTGGCTCATTGTTTGTTTGTTTTTTTTATTATTATTATTTTTTAATTTTTTTTTTTTTTTTGTGATTTTGTTAGGGTTTTTTTGTGGTTTCTTAGGGGGTTTTTTTTTTTTTTTTGCATCTTTTTTGTTAGCTTTTTGTGTTAGCTTTTTGTGTTAGTTTTTTTTTTTTTTTTTGTATGTGTTTAGCCCAGTGGCCAAAGATTAGGATAGGGCATTTTAGCGTTTTTTTGCAGTGATTGGGAATTCTTACAAAAAATCAAATAACTGTCAGATTTTAATGAAACTTTCAGGACTTATTCATAAATGAAATTATTTTACAATTATTTCTCTTTAAAAAATCCTGGTAAAAGTATTTTTCTTCTAGATTTGTTAAAATTCAATAAAACATTAGATTATGGAGATTCCTCCAGTAAATTTTACAGATATATCCACTGTAGAAAATATTAGATAAACTTCAAGCTGTCAACTCCCAAAATAAATAGACTCTGTTAAAAAATGCAAATTTCTGCAATATTTTAAAGCAATATTTCTTTCAAATCAGATTAATTAAACTTTAAATCAGTTACTTTTCTGAAACTTTATTTGAGGAATATTATATTTTTTGAAGTTTTTTTTTTTCTTTTTTTTTTCTTTTTTTTTTCTTAATAAATAGAATTACATTCCAATGACAGATGGCTAAATACAGCACTAAAGTTGGCAAATGTTATTGGTTAGTTTGTGTGTTTTTTTTTGTTTTTTTTTTATTAGTTTTGAAATGCAGCAAAGTATTTTGCTTATTGGAAATATTAAATTTAATATTTTTAGCTTGAAATTAAAACTAAAATAAAAGCTTCAAGAAAGATTTTTCATTTTTAAAAATTCATTTTAAACCTTAGGTATTTCAAATTAAATCAGTGTTTTTTGTACTAGAACTGGCATAAAGGTGTAAAGTAAAAGAAAAAATAAATACATTTTACTCCTAAAAGCAATGAATAAAACAAATTTATAAAAAAAAAAAAAGTTATTTTTAGCTTAATACCAAGAATTGGCTTTTATGTTATGATTGTGGCCTAATTTAAAAAGAAAAAAATATTATTTACTCTAGAATTGTGATGTCCAAATATCAGTCAAATTAAGCTAATTGCTGCTTATCAAACTCTTTATACTCAGTATATTGCATAAGATGAATATTGATGAGAAATCTTTAAGTATCAAAAAGTTTTGTTTTTAACTTTTCATTTATCTAAATCTTGTTAGCTTACAACAAAGTTTTAAAAATCAGATTTAAGATATCAACATTATTTTTTAAAAAGTACATGCTTCAAATTCAAGCAAGAATTTCTGAAAATTGTTTGCATATATTGATGTCTCTTTAATTAAGAGCTTGTTCAATGTAAATATTTTTATGGCTATAATGCTAAAAGTAAATAACCTTATGATTTTTTTATTTTTTCCAGTGGAAGTCGAAATAACAAAACATTCAAACCAAAGAAGAACATTCCAGAAGGCACACACCAATATGACTTGATGAAACATGCAGCCGCTACATTAGGAAGCGGCAATTTGCGTATGGCTGTGCTTTTACCAGAGGGTGAAGACCTCAATGAATGGGTGGCTGTTAACAGTAAGTAAAATTTTATCTCTTATTTAAATTGATCATCTCTTCTGGCTTACAAATCAAATCTAATTGAAAATTTCAATTTTTAATCAGAAATAGATGCTTTTATATCCAATTCAAAGCAACACACATGCATTTTGGAAATAGATCTCTTTTTCTATCCACCCTAAAAACTTTAAGGAGAAACTTTGTAATTTTCATGGTTAACCCAGGTTTGTCACTTTTTCATGATTAACCCAGGTTTGTCACATTTTCATGATTAACCCAGGTTTGTCACATTTTCATGATTAACCCAGGTTTGTCACTTTTTCATGATTAACCCAGGTTTGGCGATTGAAAAGTAAACACAAGCAGAAAGCGTTTAGCATGAGGTTTTATTTAAAATTTAATATGGGCACCAGATTTCGCTACCAGCATTTTGAGCCACCCAGGAATTGCGTTAACTGATTTCACCAGGAACTCTTGTGGCATAGAAGATATAACTTTCTGTATTTGCCCTTCAAGTGCTTTCCAAAGTCTTGGTTTGTTATAGTAGACTTGTTCCTTTAATCAACACCAAAGAAAAGAGTCACAGAGTGTTAAGCCGGGACTCCTGGTTGGCCACTCATATATAAAATAGGGAGTTACTTTTCAATCACTCTGTAAACAATATCATTGGTTTAAAGGTATTTTTATAAGATTTTTTTTTTTTTTAATACTAAGAAATTATTTGAATTTGATTTTAAATCTTAGTAAATTGAACCAAATTAACACATTTTTCATTTTTTTCACTGTCAATTACAAAACATTTTTCCCACTCTCAATTTAACCTTCACTTGACCCTTTACTTTTAACCTAGAAGGAACCAGATACTTTCTGAACTACTTTACTTTTAATTGTTCAAAAGTGAACTTTTTAAATCAACGACCACCTTTTACTTATTTCCTGTTGTCCAACAAGCAGTTTTACAAAATGGACTCTACACATGTACTGCAGTTTCTATAACTGGTAAGACGTAGTATTCATAGATATTTGTTTACTTTTTTTTTTTTTTAGTATAAAGTTCATAATACTTTGGGTACCTTCACAGATTCAAAATACACAAGATTTAAAATTCATTTTTAAAAATAAAAAAACTTTCTTGAAGATTTTTATTTTTCATTTCAAAGTAATAGATTAAATTTAGTAACCTTCACAAAAATTGCAATACTCAAGGTTCAAAATTAATTTTTAAAAATGAAAAAGCTTTCTTGAAGCTTTCACTTTAGCTTTAATTGAAAAGGATTAAATTTACAATTTCCAATAAGCAAAATACAATGGTGTATTTCAAACAGAAATTCATTGAAATCAATTTTTATTTTTTGCTGATTATCACCATTTCTTAGTCTTTCATCACAATGTAATTCTCTTCCAAAAATAAAATATACTTTTCTGAAACTTTAATCTAATTTGAAACAAATATTTATTTTAAGTTTAAAATAGCAGAAATGCATTTTTTAACATCAGTAGCTGTTGTGCTGACAGGTGGATGTTTATCTAATCTTATTCAGTGGCAGTGGGAGGCCTTTATCCATAAAAATAATTGAAGAATATAATGTGAGCGCCTTTTTATATATAATTTTTTAGTACTCAGTAATCTTTAAAAAAATTAGGAAAATATTCTCCATAAATTTTATTGAATTTTAGATACTTTGGCTTTAAAATTACTATAGTTATCACTCTTACGTTTGATAATACACATAATCAAAAAGTATCTACAAAAAACAGCATATTTATACACATACAATTTCAGAATTCTTATTAAAATACACAGGGTCTGTAAATTGTAATAAACTTTACTAATTTATGATTAGTAAATATAGTTTTACTTAATAACAATATTCCCTAGCCATTACACCAGTGAAACTGAATTTTAAGATTTACAACTTTTATAAATTATTCTAATTAAAATTTTTAAAAATGAAAAAAAAAAAAAAATCGCCAAAATTTTTTTATTCTAAAGACAATAGTCTCCTTAATATATCTTATTCATAAAAGCAATTAAAAGTTTTTCTAATTAATGTTTGGTTTTATTGCATATTTTATAGTTCAGAGCAGATTTTCAGTAAAAAAAAAAAATTCACCAATAAGTTCTACTTTTAACTAATAGTCATTAAAAATTATCTTGTTGAATTTCTTGAGTTTTCATAAAATTAAATGGCGTGTAACAAATGTTTTAAAAAAAAAAATTTTTTAAATAATTTCATTCATTTGTCAATAAGTCCCGAAAGTTTCATTAAAATCCAACAATTATTTGATTATTGCAAGAATTTTCAAATCAATGCATCTTCCATTGCAAAAAAGATGCTAAAATTTACTATGCTAATTTATTGTCTATCTGCTGATGGAAGCAAAACAAGATTTTTAACCAAAATTCCAAACGTTTTAAAAAGGATTAAAAGATAATCAAAAGATACTTTGGTCTTTCCTCTTAATAACAAAGATTTTAATGATGAAACTTGGTTTTTATCAAGTTTGGGGCTGTATGCTCTCTTTTTTTTTTTTTTCTTCAGCAAGTTAGCTATAGTATTTTGATTTTGAAAGGATTTAATGGAAGAAAGAAGAGAGAATGTCAAATCTCTTATCCCAAGTATTTTGAATGGCACAGCAGACTTTACATGCTGTCAGACCTTTATACCTGATGACATCCTTTTGCCCCAAATGGCCCAATCCCTTCTCCGCAGCAGAAGCCCAAGTTGGTTGACTCCTTTCTGGTCTATCTTTACAGTGTGGAATGTAAGAGCTCATAAGGCAAGTCAGTTGGGCCAAGAACTTTTAAATGCCCCTTTGTATATGGCAGGATTGGAGAGGAGTCCTTTACTATAATCTTCCTTCATAGACCCACATATTAAATTTGAAACAGATCTGCTCTCATTTTGATGGCAGCATTCATTGACAATCATGAATAATTAATTCAGAGAAAGATTACATATTTCTTTGATGACAGGCATAAAATGTTATAGATTCATTCATCTGCTATATTCCCTGGAATATCAGAAGTAGCACTTAACTGAACAAAATAGTTTGGGGATGATTGAACTCTGAAGTTATTGACTGAAATAATTAAAGGTAGTGAAACAAAATGGTTAATATTGTTTTATAAAGTTAAATTATTTTTTTTATTTTTCCTAAATGGACTAAGTTTTTGTTTCATATCATATTTACAAGTATCCCTCTGTTAAGAAAACCCCTTAAATTTATCAAAGGACTTGAATTATTTTTATGTATTGTTTCTAATAAAAGTATTTATAATGGGTCTATATTTGAAAAATAAATATATAAATGTTTACAAATGCAACTTAAAACTGGATTTTGAATCCAAGATGTACTTGGAAAATGATTTATAAACATTTTTGTAGACACTTAAGGTGTGTATATGTAAAGATTTTTCTTTCTAATTTTAAATTTGTAAAAGGTAATGTTTTAGCACATCACTTACTCACATTACTTGTTAAGTACTACTCCTCTTGTCTTATAGTTAGATATTGCACTTAACTGCATAGTTCTCTCCAACTTACAAGACATATCTTGTGCTTCCTTCACTTTTCAGAATAATGAAGTTTCTAACCTATTCCTCATAAAGACTATTTCAAATTTCCAAAATTCATATTAACTTTGATGGTATTTTTTTCTTCAGAGTATTTTTGAGTCTTTCTCCATTTGTTTTCGAGGATTATGTAGTTGCCAATAAAACAACTCTTTCAGAAATTTGAAAGATTTAATTAAAAAAAAAAAAATTGATAGACAGAACTAGTCCTTAACAAGACATATTTGAGAGAATTCTTGCTGCTGAAATACCTTGTGTGTGTGTGTGTGTGTGTGTGTGTATATATATATATATATATATATATATATATATATATATATATATATATATATATATATGATTAATACAAATATAAAATTTGTCACTTAGCTTATATTCAGTACTCCAGAATTTCATAGACAAACCTTTTGTGCAATTATTCAGTCCACTTAGGAGATATCGGCATATAAAATCTGTGTGTGTGCGCACAGCATCAGAAAAAACAATTGTAAATCAACCTTTGATTAAAAGGTTTTTGTTTTAATATTTATGATTATTAACTCTGTGTTAATTATCTTCAAGTATATTTTGAGATTTATCTTCATTTTTTTAATATCCCTTATTTTAAATGATCTGATGCACTGTGCATATTTGATGTTATTTCATTGTAACTAAAAGTAAAGATTGAAGGTAATATGTACTTTCCACAATGTTTCAATTCCTTTCATGTTGCTAAGTTTGTATTTCTGTCTTCATATATAAGAGCAAAAAGGTTTTGTTATATATTTGTCATAAAATTATACTTAACACTCTTAGAAAGTCAGGCTTTCACTGGGTTGTTCTTTTTATAGTATTCTCTCACACGTAGTCTTCACAAATTTACATTTGTTGTTAAGGCTGTCAAAAAGCACCTCAAATATAAAATTATCAACTGCTAAGAGAATTTTTTTTTTTTTTTCTTTACAGAAATGATGTAATTTTTAGGTGCACTCTTTAACATCTCTGAAACCTTTCTCAGCAACAAAAATAAAATCTTCAGAATTTTATTTTTATTAAAATTCTTTTTACATTTTTTGGACTAAACCAGCAAAGATTAATCTAAGAAATTTGGAATATAGCAAAATGTATTTCTATTAACAAAAAATTAAATTCCTGCTAAAGACTCCTTTCTTACATTTGTACATCTTCCAATTTCTATAAATTATTTTGGGAATTTACTTCTACATACATATATCTTACCAACATGTTTTTCATATCTGAACGGTTTTCTAGTAGTGCCAATTTCTGTAGCCTATATATTATCTACATTTAAAAATGACTGTCATAAATATTAAATTGCTTCTGAGAGAAAAATAAAATCCTAAATATTTCCCACTTGTTGAAGAACCATTCTTCTAAGTTATTCAGTTAACTAGCTTTCTCTGTTTTTATCTCTTTTAATCACAATTATGACCAACATATG